TACAAAAGAATAACAGTAGTTAAATATTATTAAACCATATGAAATTGCCAATACTTGAACATTTAACCTGTATGGCTTAACCATTCTAATAGGTTTCAAAACTAAAACTATTTAAGCTCTTTAATGTCTCACTTGTTCCAATTAATTTTCAAAACAGAATTGCCATGGGAAAAAAGTATTTGTCAGGAATGAAAAAGATAAGCAAAAAATAAGCACTACAAAGTGGCATTATTTGGTTATTAAGAATGAGAGAATTTTAGCAAATCTTAGATTAGATTCCCTTAGGTGATTCTTCAGAACTTCAGAGAGGGTCTTCTGAAAATGCTTTTATATCAGGTCTGCTAAGGAAGATTAAATTTTGATGCAGTGTGCAATATCATTATTCATCATAGAACTCCCAGTTAGAGATGTCTGCACAGCCTTGATGCAGAGACAACTTAGTCCTGGGTCTTGCAGATTTGTTTTCTTCTCCTTTAGCCTCTCCTCTCCTACAGCTATGCTCCTCCAGATCTTCAGTTAGGCCAAGAAGCATCCTAGCTTGATCCCTCTCTTTGTATTTATTAGAGCCAGAGGTATTGGAACATTGCTATATGTCATGGGCCTGGCTTGGTTCAGTCCACATGTCATTTGTGACAAAGAAGAACCCAGAATCCTGGAACAAATTTGATCTCAATGTTCTACTCAGTAAATGTATTTGACAGCAAACTGAAGAAAGAAGGTCCAGACTTCTAAATGCATTATTTCACTAGAAAGCTGCTTAAAATGAAGGTCTTCCAAATGCAGTCCTCATAATTTTGCACTTAACCAAGAAGTACTTCCCCTCTAAATGCATGAAATCATGTTGGTGTTATTTTTATGTTGGGGCTTACACTATTTATCTGACACAGGGGAGGGGAGAAAGTCCAGTTGAAATTAATAGTGATGTTCCAATTTACCTCCACTGGAATGACTAAAATGGAAGTGACAGTACAAATGTTAGCAAGAATGATGAACCAACTGCAACTCTTACACTTTGTTCATGGAAATGTAAAATGGTACAACCATTTTGGAAAACAGGTTGATAGTTTCTCCAAATGTTAACCCTTTGCACTCCGCTGTCCCCTCTCAGGGGACATCGGAATTCTAGCATATCACTCGGATGTCCCCTCTCAGGGGACATTGCAATTTATTAGTGATTACGGGGAATTGAGTTATTTCAACGCAACTTTTTGAGACATGCATGTTTCCCTGAAGTTTTATCTTGAAATGGCACAAGAAATTAAATCAAAATATCGTAAAATTACTAAGATATATACAAGAAATGTCAGCGGGTTTTGTGTCGGACGAGAACGTGAGATGCGTGCTCACGACGGTCCGAGCACTTCGCGACGCCACTTGAAAAGAGCGATAAGGGGAGTTTGTAGAAGAAAGGTCGGTTTTCGAACATAGCGCGCACTGTATAGTGAGATATATAATTACAAATAAACAAGTCTACATCTGGAGGAAAAGATTTTCAAAGCTGAGCTCATTTTGGTTTGAAGCTTCGAGCAGTGCACATAGATCTAACGAGGAGAAAATCGGAAAAGTGATTCTTCTCTTAGTGAATAAATTGTTTGGTGAAAGCTATTTTGGTAAATATCATCTTGTCAGTTAATAATAACAATTAGAAATTTTTAACCCATGCATTTATTCATATTTTTTATTAGAACAATGGCAAAGCATCCAACCACGAATGAGTCTCATGACACAAGTAGTAGTGAAGATGAGCTCCAGATAGACCTCTATACAGACATGTCAAACATGCACTAATCAGCCTGCAATGCATATTGGGGAGTGTTACAAAACTTCTTATACTGTACAAAATTATAAACAATAAAATACTGGTTTTTTTGCAAATATACATTGCTCGATGTCACCCAATTCATATAACTCCAATATCATTATAATACGTTACTTGGTTCCAAAATTATACTAAATAATACGAGGGTCTGTAATGCACGTTTCTGCCGCAAAGTAGCATCGAGTACCTGGTAGCCAATGTCCAGAGTGGTTCGGAGTGCAAAGGGTTAAATAAAAACTGTTAGCCTATGACTCAACAGTTTCAAGTTTAGACATTTGTCTTAGAGAAATGAAAACTCTGTTTACAAAAACCTTGCTGAAGAATGGTCATAGCATCTTTACTCATAATAATTCATATATATATTATTACTAAGCAATTCTTACTGGTGTGAGGTTATATATCATTTGTGGTTTTGATATGATGGACATTTTCTCATGTGCCTTTCAGCTTTCTCATCATACTAAATGTTACTGCTAAATCAAAGTAGGAAAAATCGAAAGAGCAGTTATTTTCTATATTTGTATAATAATGACGTTATGTTTGTATTGTAACACAGTAATCAGGTTAAAAGCCTTTTAGCGAGATATTTTAATAAATGTTTCTACTAAATCCCTTTATTGCTTAGAGTAGTGGAAACAATTGGCATGGACTTTTTCTAGCAATATTGAATCTCTGGAAGATTTTAAAAATGGATATTGTAAAAAGGTTCAATATATTCTTCTGTTCCCAGCATTATTTCAAAAATAACAAATAGATTGAGGCACTAATTATGTATGGAATTCTCGATTCAATATGAGAAGTAAAAGTGTCTAGAACCTTAGATTAGAAGAAGTTTGGGGTAATGAAGGTATGAGACAGGAAGTTGCCAAAAATAAATGTGTTTAACATTTCTAGGTTTTCATTTTCTTTTTTATAAAGTACCAGTGCCACAGAGGACCTTGAAAGAACATCTGTCATGAGCTTCTACTGTTAAATTATTAAATATTAAATAATTCTATCCTGTTTATTTGATTATGTGTGCTCTTATGTTATCTATAACGTGTTCATTGACATGCACAATAAATGGTTGCCATTTTAAATTCTGGAAGATCAATGCAATTTTATTACTTTCCTTAGGAGGCCAATGTATAATACCTGAGAATCTAGTCTTATATGTAAGGAATCTGAGGCCTAGTGAAGATCATGATTTGTCCAGGGGCAAATGACTACCTAATTTAGGAACAGGTATTCCATTCATTTATTAAACAATTTTTTAGACTATACTTCATATGGCAGTAAGTTTCCTGTTCATAAGCATTAGAGAATTAACTGGGATGAAAACAAATGGGGATCAGAGGATAGAGGCATAGCAGATGAGAAAACAAGTGATTTCCTCTTGATGCTGACTATGTTGACTCACAGTGCATAAACAATGCTTTGACACACAGATGGGATGATCGTGATGCTATTAACTAAGTACTGGCCGCTCTAGAATTAAGTCTATCAACTCTGAGTCCAGGGTTTCCTATTTTTTTTTTTATTTTTTTATTTTTTTTAAAGTGAGGAGGTTTATAATTTTTTTTTTTAATAGAGGCATGTTTATTTATTTTGTTTGTTTGTTTAGACAAGCACTGGGTACAGTCAGAAGCGCGGGAGGGTGAGAGAACTCACCAGAGCCAGAGCGGGGAGCAGAGCAGGCAGAAGGACCGAAGTACACTGCTGAGGGGAGCAGCGGGCGGCAGGAGAGGTCTGCGCGCCATGTGGGACCCTCCTCCGGTGGCCGGGGAGCAGCCGGGGATCGAACTGGCGCCGCAGAGGCCGCTGGCAGCTTCACAACCCAGCGCTCAACCGCTGCGCCACCGGGGAAGCCCCAGGGTTTCCTTTTTATCTTCACTTTTACACATTGCTTATCTGACTAGGACAGATGCTCAAACGAGTTTTCTTATTTGTCAGTGCATTTAAATTGACCTTGATACACCTCTGGTTTGGGTAGTAAAAATAGAGAATTTATAGATTAGAATCTTACTTGTTTGAGGTTTCCTTGTATTTTTGATTCAAATTGAATTTCCTTCCTGTCGTTTTTAATTATAATTGACAAAACAAAATTAGTAATCTAAATCCTTATATTTTGAACTTTATCTTCAAGCTGACTTCTTGCCATAATATTCAGAAAGACATGGATCATAACTTACTAACAATTTCAAAATGTGCTCTGAAGGTGGAAAAAAATTCTTATTTTTAAATGCATCCAGAATTTGAAGAAATGTTTCTTTAAGCAAGTTTTGCACTGATTTTGTATTCCTTAGAGACTGTATAATAATATAAAGAGTAGATTTTTATCTGATTTTATTTATTATTAGATTCAACCGCAAATAAACTGAATAGAGAGCACTGCTGCTGCTCTACTCAATAGAGATAGTAGTCATAGAGTCGTCTTTGGAGAGGAGAGGAGTATATTTTAATCTGTATTCATTCCCAATACTTAGTTACCAGTGTTTTGAATGTTCTTTTTTATAAATATTTATAGATATAATTTTTACATCATTGTTCATTTTTTTACAATTTGTGCTTGTATGCTTTCTTCTCTCAGGTGTAGTCCCTGTAAAATTCCCACCACCAATTCACCCGTGAACCATCACCACAGTCCCTTGTGCTCTTCCCTCCCCTGTTTTGATCCCTCTGCCTCCCCCTCCCTTGCAGAATGTCTCTGATTTATAGTTGCCTGCTAATTTTGTTTGTTTATTATTATTTTTTTCCTGATACTTTATTTGGTTCCTCTATATTCCTCCTGTAAGTGAAACCATCTGATATTTTTCTGTTTCCTTTTGCCTTATTTCACTGAGCATAATCCCTTCCAGCTCCATCCATGTTGTTGCAAATGGCATGAGTTTATCTTCTTTGATTGCTGAGTAATCCATTGTGTGTGTGTGTATATACACACACACCAATATACTCACACACACACTAACACACACACATATATATACACACACACCCCACATCTTCTTGATCCAGTCATCTATTTTGGGGCATGTGGGTAGTTTCCATAGCTTACCTATTGTAAATAGTGCTACAATAAACATAGGAGTGGATGTTCTTAATGTATTTTTCTTTTTTTAAAATTTTGATTCCTAATAGGTGTTATTCCGAAAACTCTTCAGAAAAGAAAACTTTTCATACTGTCTTTTTTTCCTTTGTTTAGAAATAGAAACGAGTTGGCTGAGACTCTTGCACTCCTGAAAGCACAAATTGATCCTGTACTATTGAAAAGCTCTAGCCAACAAGACAACTCTTCCCGGGAAAGCCCCAGCTTAGAGGATGAAGAAACTAAAAAGGAGGAAGAAACACCTAAACAAGGTTTTTTTTGTGTGTTTTGTTTTGCTTTGTTTTGTAATTTCTTCTCTTCTTCCATTCTTCTTCCCTAGTACATAAATCTGAATTCTATTTTAATTTGAAAAATTGCATGCCTTCCTGTAAAAGGAGATTGATTTCTCTTTAATTAAAAAAAATGGGAAGGGGGCCTCCCTGGTGGCGCAAGGGGTTGAGCGCAGCTCTCTGAAGCTATCTGCAGCCTCTGTGGTGCAAATTCGATCCCTGGCCTGGGAGCTACCCACATGGCGCAGCAGTCCTCTCCTGACTCACCTGCTGCTCCCCTCCGCAGTGTACTTTGGTCAGTCTGCCTGTTCTGTTCCCCCCTCTGTCTCTGGTGAATCCTCACACCTCTGGCCTGTACTCCAGTTCTTGTAATCATAAATAAATAAATCTTTAAAAAAAATAGGGGAAAAAAAAACAATTGAGTACTTTGCTCTTATATGGAAAATTTGAAATTTCAAAATTAAAAATTTTCAGATCTCCAATATCTAATCTTTTCCTAATTTAAGAATGCAAAGATACTTAATGAACCCTTTTTTAAAAAATTGTGGTAAAATAATACGTAACATAAAATTTGTAACTAACCATTTTTAAGTATGTAGTTTTGTAGCATTAAGTAAATTCACATTGTTGTGCAGCCATCTCCCTAGCAATCTCCAGCGTCATATTCCACAATGGGAACGCTGTGCCAGGTAATACCATTTCCCCATTTTCCCCTCTCCATTCCCTGACATCCATCATTCTACTTTCTGTCTCTATGAATTTGGCTATTTGAGGAATTTTTTGTTAGAGAAACCATACCATATTTGTTGGGACTAGCTTATTTCAATGAATATAATTTCTTTAATATTAATCTGTTTTGTAGCATGTGTCAGAATTTCCTTCCTTTTTAAAACTGAATAATATTTTGGTGAAGGTATATGCTACAATTTTTTTCTTATCCGTTCATCTTTCATTGGACACTTGCATATCTAGTACCTTTTAGCTATTGTGAATTATGTTTCTTGACTCTTGCTATGGGTGTACAAATATTTGGTTGAGTCATTGCTTTCACTTCTTTTTGGCATATGCCCTGAAGTAGAACTGCTGGCTCAGATGGTAGGTTTTTTTTTAATTTTGAGGACTCTGCCATATTCTTTTCCACAGCTACTACACCATTTTACAATCTCACCAGTAATTCATTAAGGTTCCAATCTCTTTGCATACCACCCATGACTTGTTATTTTTGTCTTCTCTTTTAAGGGCTATCCTAATGGCTGTAAAGTGCTGTCTCATTATGGTTTTATGACTAGTTGTGTTGATCTCTTTTTTGTGTACTTAATAGCCATTTGTATATCTTCTCTGAAAAATTTTTATTCAACATCTTTCCCCAATTTTGAATAGGGGCTTTGTTTTTTGGTTGCATTTAACAGACTCTGAAGTCTGTGATAAGTATAATTATTAAACCTGATTTCCTGACTGAATTTTCTATTTTGCCTTGGCTAAACAGATCAAATCTTTACCACTTTAGAATAACAGAGCTATGTCGTATCTTTACTATTAATATTTTTTGTTGATAAACATGACAGGGTAAGAATTTACTTTCCTTAAATTTTCTTCCTTTGCTTTTAGTTTTCTTCTGCTATTCAATCAGAAGCAAATAGTGATACGTTCTCACCTTATTTGCTGCTTTGAAAGAACCATTCATAAGGTCATTGTGTAGTGCATTCATTGCTTAGAACTATTATATTATGCTTCTTAATGTAGGATACAGTGTCTCTACATATTAAGCATTGCTTTTCACAAAAATGCTGATTTTTGTACTTTTTGACCAGTGTTGTTAGGATTTCAAATTTTTGTGTTAGAATTTTTTTTTAAAGATTGATTTATACATACAAGAACTGGGGTACAGGCCAGAGGTGCGGGGGGTGTGAGAATTCACCAGAGACAGAGTGGGGAGCAGGACAGATGGATTGACTGAAATATACTGCTTAGGGGAGCAGTGAGAGGACAGGAGAGGTCTACAGAGACAGGAGAGGTCTACTGAGCCATATGGGTCACCTCCCTGGCTAGGGATTGAACTCATGATGCGGATTGCTTCATAGTGCCAACGCTTAACCCCTTGCATCACCAAGGAGGCCCCTGTGTTAGAATTTTGTAAACCAAATTTTTATTTGAAAAATTCTTGTCAAGTATTTGGAAAAAATTTCAGGTAAAGCTTAATAATTTTAAAGTAGTCTAAACTTTCTATTTAATTTCCAGAGTTTTAAAGTTGCATTCCAAATGATTAGTTCTATGCTTAGACTCAATATTTATTAATGTGCTCATGACTTCATATCTGTTATTAGTCTCATACACAATTAAGATCAAGGCCAAAGTGAATACAAATTTGAAAAAGGGCACAGTAATAGAAATTTAAGAGGTAACTATTAGGAAAACTTAAATTTGACACTGACTTTGAAGGGAGACTCATTGTGTAGTTTAAATTTAGAAGACTATGACCAAAACAATTTCCTTGGTAAATTAATCCTCTTCCTAGTATTTAATTTTAAAATTTCATTGTGAGGCCTTATAGTTGAAGAGGAGGAATTTCAACATTAATAACAGCTAGCATTTATTTGTTGGGCACATCCTGTTTTCTTAGCAATATACCAAATGCAGCATATGTGTTTTCATTTAACCTTCATAGCAACTTTTTAAGGTAACTGCTGTTATTATTTCAGTTTTACAGATGAGCAAATTGGGATATTTATAAACTTGCTCCAAGTTGTATATAAAGTGTCAGAGCCTAGATTTGAACCCTGAACCTTGTAAAGCCTGTGTTCCTTAACTACCTAAATCTATAATTCTCAAACTTTAATATTCATGATCTTCATTTGGTGACCTTTTCTAAATACAGAAACTGATTGACTAGTTCTTGCATGGTGTTGATCCACCATTTTCACAAGGACCTTGATACTGCTGCTACTGCTGGTCAAAGACCCACACTTTGAATAGAAATGGTATAGAGGCAGTCTTCTCTTGACCTTGGAAACTAATACAGCAGAGACTTTGATACAAGTGTTTTTTACAATATTCATCACAGAATGCTGATGTTGTAACACTCATCACAATCAAGAGAAAGTATGTGGCGGAGGACATGGCTCTAAAGATTAGAAGAGGAGTGGCAAGATATTTCATCTTTGGTTTTTTCCTTTTCTGTTTCTCTTTCTGTAACAGCAGAATATTTCTCATTCGTTAATTCGGCAAATACAGAACTGTGTCTGACACGATTTTAGGCATGGGGTTCAGGAAACAAAGCATACACAAATTCCTGCTTTTGTGAAGCTTATATGATAGGGACTTACAAATAACTAACATCTGGGTAGGGGAACGGGGAGCACCTGGGACGGTAGTAGCGGATTGTGGGTGCTTTGGTAGTGGGTGCTTTGGTAGGTGTGGCCACCCCTGAGGGGAGTAATTCTATATTGTCAGAATATAACAAAGATGTAAAACAGTGGTGGTTCTTCACTAATATATTGTGTGTGTGTGTGTGTATAACATATATTCCAGTTACTAGATTCCAAGGACTTTTTTTGGAGCTTTATATTTATTAGGTCATCTAATCTTCACACACTCCCTATTATATATTACATTATGTTTACTTTTTATTTTTTTCAGATCAGATTAATGAAAGGAGGGGAAGTTTCAGTAATTTTCTTGGGGTCATACAGCCTGTTTGCAGTATAAACACAAACCAAATGCAGACAGTATTTCTCCAGAGTCTGTATACATTGATGTTGTGTTTGCACATAATTTGTGGGAGTAGATAGTTTTATTCAGCTCCCAAAGCCCTGACTTCTCCATCATGGCAAGACCAAAGAAACATATTTCTGGTTCATTGTACTCATTGCACTTACACATAAACAAATGTTTTGGGTGGGGAGTAAAGTGTGGAGAGGTAGAGCTGGAAATAACCTTGGCTATAACCTAGAAAATGTACTTAAGAGTAGTAAAGCAAAATGTGACAAATATTAACAATTGTATGGTTGGGTGTTTGGAACTCAGACATCAAGAGGAAAAATAAGAAAGAAAAAAACAACCAGTCTCATTCTTGAAGTTAAAATAGATTTGTTTTTAATAATTAATTTGATTGTCATATCTAACCTTAGTAAAATTATTTTTTTGTATGGGTGCCAAGAAGAAATGCATTACATAAAAGTGGGGAAAACTGCCCAGAAAATCTAAAGCAGCATCATATGACCTAAAAAATTCACTTATTGAATAGTGAAATTGGTTTTTCTTTCAAAGATCATTAGAATTGCCTTCTGAAAAAGTCTAAATTTCTTGGACTGGGATTTAGAATCTCACAGTTTGGTCTCAACTTATTTTCCTAGTGTTCTTGTCTACTGTTTTCTATGTGATCATGGTTTACAGTTATCTGGAAGCCTTTTATTATCTCCATATGCCTTGGGCTATTCTTCTGTGTCATTATCATGCTCTTATTTCCCTGAAGTACTTGAACCATAGGCAAATCAGTGTTTCTCTAATGAATGAACTACTGAATAACACTATGTTTCTGTACTATGAGATTTGATCATCTGGAGTGTCCATCAGGAACCTTCTTAGGTTTGACCAAGCAGATTCACAAGGTTACTACTGACCACATAAGGCATCGATATGATGATTAGAGTAGGATAGAAATCACAGCTTGCTAATAGCAATATTCATTGTTGCATCGATTTAGCAGATCATGTATCCATGCAGGAGCTATTTTCTTCCACGTGACAACTTCAGGAGCCAAGTATATGGGATTCACACTGACTGGGTGCAGGGATCACCTTGTCTTGAAAGCCTCGTGTTCCATAGAAGCCATTATCTCTTATAATAAATTCTGTAGGCATATGCTCCAGAGTTTTCTTGCCCAAAAACAAAGAATCACTGTATTCATCCTAAGTATGCATCTCCATCATGCATTTTAAAATTCTTTCAGTCCAGTTGCAGTTTATGACTTAGTGGTCATTAAC